ACATGAAGTTCCATCTCAACTGCAAACTCCTCACATTGAGGCCACTGTTGTAGGGGCACTGAAATTCAATTTCTCCCTCTGAGCAGTCCTGCTTCCCTCCCTCCCTCCCCTGTGTGTCTCCAAGGCAATCCCCAATAAAAACTTCTGGTATGCAAAAATCAGTCTTAAGTCTGTTTCCTGGGAATTTGACCTAAGACAATGAACTTGCCCCTTTCAGTCAGGTACTGACTGCAAAACCCAACTTCTCTGGTAATCCTGGGTGGTCACTTAATCTGTTTCCTTCCTTATCTATAAAATGAGAGTACAGGCATCAACATTCACAGTAATAATGATACTTTTTATCTCTGTTCTGCCAGGCTGTTACGAGAATTAAAAGATAATATAGATAAGACTGAAAATAATAAAGAACCATGTAATATCATCATCTGGACAATTTGATGTTGGTTTCAGGAAATGTAGAAATATTATGGAATTCAGATTACTCATTGTGACTTACTTTGTTCCAAATCAGTAGATTCGTGTCACAAGGAAGTACACAGTAGAAACTCAGGAATAAAGTAGAAGAGACATGTGTTGTTGCAATACTGAAACTAAAAGAGGCAGAAGAGCCCGTGTCCCCTCAGTTTCCATATGAAGACAGCAACAGACAAATTTCCACTATTTTGAAAAGATGAAATTCACATTACTACCCAATCAGTTACGCAAGGAATGCCACTGTACTTTTTTGAGCAAGTAAGCAAATGGGACAGTTGTGTATACATAATGGAAGTCCTTTTTTAGGAAACTTGGTATCTAGACTGTCTTAGTATCCACTGAAAAGAAGGGGGAAAAAATCCCTTAAGTTAAAAGCATTTAATTATGTCAATGATAACTAGAAATACCAATTCTAGTCACACTAAAAATTATCCTACTATTAAGACTTACACAGAATATGAATGAGATGCATAAATAATATCCGTTATCTGTAGGCTCAGAGAGTGACCCACAAATGCTCACTCTGACAGATGGATTTATTATTAGCAAAATTCACAGAATGTTTAGAACTGGGAGGAGCCTAAGAGGGACCTAGGACTTAACCTCAGCCGTTCGGTTTTCAGGGAAACCCAGCAGAATTGATGAAGCAAGACAAACCCACACGAAATAGTAATCTGAATCCTGCCCTTTCTCGCTGCCTGCGCACTGCATGAATTACAGACCAACCAAGAGATAAGCATGGGAGCTTATCTGTGAGGAGTAAAAGACTTAATCCATTTACTGAGACCAGGTTAGCACATCATAGACACTCAATTAATTTTAGCTATTGTTATTCTCAGTCCAAATTTTGTTTAATGAGGGCTGGTGTGGTATCACAAGCCTGTAATCCCTCTGCTCAGGAGGAGCACAAGTTTGAGGCCAGTCTGACAGCACAGCAAGTTCCAAGTCAGCCTGAGTTACATAGTGAGACCATGTCTGAAAAACAAACAAAATTAATGAGCAGTAATTACATACCAAGCACTCTGAGCTCCTCAACATCCTTTATCCCAAATCTATTTTTCCACATGGTAGAAGTTCCTATGTCGGTCATTACCTACAAATGTAGGCTTTATCCTAACTCCTCCCCCTTCCTCACTGCCCATTTCCAAGTCACCAGATGTGCTCTGCCTGCTGTCCATCTGTCAGTGCATCCCTCTTTTCCAGTTCTCATTGTCATTGCCTGATTCCACCTTCTTTACAAAGATCTCCCTCAGATCAACACCACTCTCATCTAATCTGTTCAGATTTTTATTCTAAATTAAATAAAAAACAAACATGAATCTGACAGCATTCAAAGGCCTCTATGTAGGATAAAGTTGCCATAGTTCCTTCTTGGACACAGGTCTTTGTGCTCAGGCCTGCCTGTCTCTCCAGCCTCTTCCCACTGCTTTCTCCTTGGTGTCCACACTAGCCAGGCTGGAGTTTCCTGACCATAGGATGCCTTTCACTCCTCCTACCACTGTTCCTTCTGCTGGGTCACCTACCCCTCCATCTGCCTGACAATTCCTTCTCCTACCTTCAGGTCGGTTGTTTAATCAATAAATACCTCCTTACTCATCATGAGTGAAACATCTGCCAAACTCAGGGAATATGATACTGAGTAACACTCAACCTTTCTTTCTCAAAGAAAAAGTAATTTTGAGGCTCTCAGGGAAAAATGAAATGTGGAAATTAAGGCAAAGCTCCTTCAAATTTAGCACTAGTTCTTTTATTGCTGGCTATCTTAGTGAATCAGGGAATATTCATATAAAGTAGTCCCCACTTATCCCCAGGGATACAACCAACACCCCCAGTGGATGCCCAGACTGAGAGTAGTGTATAGTCTTATTTATACTGTTTCTTTCTGTACTATAACCAAGATAAAGCTTAATTTATAAATTAGACACAGTAAGAGATGAACAATAGTAAAATAAAATAATAAATTGTAACAACATAGTGTAATAAAAGTGAAGTAAACATGGTTTCTCTCATAAAAGTATCTTACTGTTCTGGAATTTTCTATGGAATATTTTGTGCCTCTGTTGACCTCAGGTAACTAAAGCTATGGAAAGCCCAACTTCAGATAAAGAGGGATTACTGTATAAAAGCAATGAGCAGAAATTTGCTTCAATAGAGTGTTCCAAAGTTATAAACCATTAGCTAGTCACTTTTTAAAATGACATAAAACTAAAAGTGCCTGCAACTGCCCAGGGGTGATAATAAACTGGGTTTATTTTTACGTGGTTATTCAATAATATGAAACGTGGTTAATGTAAACACTTTAAAACCATGCCTCGATAATATATACAGGTAAAGAGAAAGAGAGAGAGAAACTATAGAGCCCAGAGAGGCCTCAAACTCATAATCCTTTTACCTCTGTCTCCTGAGGGCTGGGGTTACAGGCATGCATCACCGTGCCTGGTCACTAATATACTTTCATTTAATCACTTACTGAATGGAAACCAGACTGCTTACAAAGACAAGCAGAAGCGTAAACGCAAAACTTCCCTTGTTCTTCCAGCAAGAATCCAGTACATTCCAAATTGCAGAGCTGTCCTATTGGGACAGAGTCATCATTCTGGGTGTAGACTTATGGCACCCATCTCATTATGTGGGATTTTCTGGTGTATTTGCTGGCTTCCCTGAGACCTTGACATCCTTGTTATCAGGATCCTCTTATTTGTGGTTGGACAGGCTGAGCTCAGTGATCAGGGCTGCATAGCGAAGGCGACTGGTAATTGTTGTCCCCATAGACAACTCGTTCCCATAAAGCGTTTGCCACTGTCTCTACTGTGTGTTAAGATAGTACAGTCCCTTTCTAAGAATCCGTCTGCTTAAACATTTTAATTTCTCAGCTCCAGCTGCCATCCACCTTCACCAAAAATTTCCATAGGCTTTTAGCACTGGTGTAGTAAACTGTCTGAGATACTTTGATTTCAGAGAGTGACTTACAGTCACTATATAAAGTGACATTTCTAACACACAGTGACAATAACAGCAAAATGAATTTTCTCTTGGGCTTCAGTGGCAGAGCACAGGATTTTAAGGGTTATCTCAGATCAGCCTAGTGACCCCAGCTGGTATGTGGTCTCATCAGGCGCTCAGGCAAACTGAAAACTTGAATCGTTACTTCGTACACCGCCTGCCCCAGTTTTGCCAATGATGCCATTTCACATCTATAACTTTATTTTAAATACGGAGAGAACAAACCTCACTTTTCTGAAAAGTTCATTAACAAAGTAGCACAATGAAGAGAGCAGTCCGGTGACTCATTTTTGGATACCCGTGTGGAAATAACAACTCCTCCCTTTGCTGAGAAGCGCTTGAACAAGTGCGTGAGAGCCACAGGAAGTAATGCCGGTCTCGGCTGGTGGCCGTGCAGTTAGAAAGCGCATTCCCCGCCGTGGACCGGGTGGCTTTCCTGGGCACTGCCTCTACTTCTCCCCACCCTTCTGAAACGACAAGGCAAAGCCTTCCATGGGAACTGTGTCAGGGCGGTATCTCCGTCTCCGCATTTCCTGGCTCCTGAGTCACACTGTCAAGTTCAAGTACATTCTGCTGCGTTTGAGAAAGTAGACTCTAATAGGAAGTGAAGAGGTGATCAAACTGAAATACCGCCCCCATTCATT